TACATATGCGACCCCGATGTCCCGATGGAGCGTCGGACCGACACGACGACGATACAGTACTTGACGGCACGCGACCCCCTGAGGATTTCACCACACGTACGTACCGGTACGGGCCAAAAAACTTGCAGCTCGCACATGGCGTTATCCAGTATCCACGCGACCAGCATGTATGGACCTATGCCAGCAACAGTACCGCCTACGTGCCAACAGTTAATATTTTTTGCAATTTTACGGATATATTCGTAGTTGTAGCAATGAAGCCATTTTTTATCTTTTGTTGGAGCAACGAGCAATCAGTGATGTGCCGATGTGAGGTAGACAGGTAGTACTAGTAACTTTGTTTGGGGACTTAATAATGTCATTAGCAACGCAAAAGCAAGGATGTGAGGATTTCTACCCTCCTAGCGAACTAGAGATGATCATGGAGGATGGGAAAAGCTGTGCTCCACTAGTATGCATGCGAGCTAGAATAATGGTGGCATCACGTGGGCTTAAGTGTTCTTTGGACTAGACTAATCCACACATTCCAAAAACAAATGTGAACATAACCTTTGATAGAATGATACACTCTGAAAGGTACTCGTATAATAGTTAGCGAAACTTTCTCAGTACAGAATTCACCACATGTGTGTTAATATATACGCTAGCTTGGATTAATTACTACGTTTGTTACTAGTCATATTGACCATAAATCCTTTAGGTAGCTGAGCAGAATAATTAAGCAGCCGTTTTCGTAACAAATGGGCATCTTTGAAACTGACGAAAGCTTTTTTTTTTTGACAACTGACACAACATTAGGCCTACGGATTGACGAGCTTTTTGACCGCCCACGTACTTCTGATCGATCGACATCCATGGAGTTGCTCATCGGATTTGCCTTGTCGATGAAGATGTTGACGTGTTCAGTGTTTAACTTCCTCCGTCCCATATTACTTGTCTTTTTAAGTTTTTGTTTGTCAATATTTGATCATTCGTCTTATTTAAAAATTTTAGAATTATTATTTATTTTGTTTGTCATTTACTTTATTATTAAAAGTACTTTACATATGACTTATCTTTTTTTATATTTACACTAATTTTTTAAATAAAACGAATGGTCAAACGTTGCAAATAAAAAGTCAAAAACGTCATCTATTATAATACGGAGTGAGTAGGTAGTAGTGTAGGAGTAGCTACTAATACACGTAGTATACTGTCTCTGTTCCTTTCTAAATGCTTGTTCATGTTGCTTTCCAAATGCTTACTGATAGCATTTGAAAACTACTCCACTCAGTGCTTCGCCGCAGTAAAAAATAAGGGCTACGCAAACTCGGGCTGAAAGCCTGAAACTCGCTAGCCTGTAACTCCTAAACTGGATTCAGAATACACATCTTCAAGGAAAAAAGATTCAGAACATGCACATTCAGGGTGTGTTTAGTTGGGGAAAAGAAAATTTTTAGATGTCATATCGGACGTTTGACCGGATATCGGAAGAGGTTTTCGGACACGGATGGAAAAACTAATTTCAGAACTCGCCTGGAAACCGCGAGACGAATCTTTTGAGACTAATTAAGCCGTCATTAGCACATGTGGGTTACTGTAGCACTTATGGCTAATCACGGACTAATTAGGCTTAAAAATTCATCTCGCGATTTCCCCCATAACTGTGCAATTAGTTTTTCTTTTTATTTATATTTAATGCTTCATGCATGTGTCTAAAGATTTGATGTGATATTTTTAGGAAAAAAAATTGGGGAACTAAACGGACCCTCGGAAAAAGGGTTCAGAAAATTTGAACAATCCACTGTTCCTGCCTTCCTGATTTGTAGCATGAGTAGTATCAAGCTATCAGTATCAAACATGTACTAAAATTCAGTAGACTAGTATTTCTGGTTGCAGCACCACTACTGTCAAATCGGAGGCAAAACCTCAAGAAAGGCAGCGAGTGAGTGAGCAAAACAACAGGGCCTCAGTGCTGTGTTGGTGCTTTGAGGATTGCTTTGGCAGCATGGCCAGATTGCAGAAATGATTGGAGCAGCCGCATCCATCAACTGGTGTTTTCACAAAAACTCCAGATCACAAAAAAGGAGTATTATACTCGTACGGATCGGATTATATATTGTGTTTGTCACTCGAATCGCCAGTGCCTCGCATGTTTACGAGGACTAGCTCATCGTCGGCACGCTTTACAGGGAGAAACAGGTGCCTGCTAAAGCTGGTGTGTTTTTTGATCTCTACCTTTTTCTTTTCATTTCGTTCCTTTCTTTCAGCTCATCAGAGGATGGAGATGGAGTAAAAAGAAAAGGCTGTGGCAGTTCGTGTGCGTCCTGGACGACACACGCCACCCTGTCTGCTGCTAGCCTGCTACTGTCTGAATTCTGAAACTATATGTGATGCGATGGCTGTCGTCGTTGCTGTTACATGCTGCATTTCGATAATTCAGAGTTTCAGACATTATCCTGAAAGTTCCCGTGCCACAATATTCAGGACGGTTTCTGTTCATGCTCCAGAACGGCATCACCAGGTGCAGATAATGAACAGATTACAATTCCTTCATGATCTGTTTTTGTTTGGAACTTTGGATAGCTGCGGAAAAAGGAGATGCGTTTCGGAACCTGCAGCGAAATGCGCCGAGATGTTGGGCACATGCTTGAATTAAAGCTTGGTAATTTTTGCGCAAGTTGGAAGAATATCAGGACAGTTTTCAGTGATGTATACAGCTATGTATTCTTTCGTGTATAATGCAAGAGGACAGTCTGCTTTTAAGCTAATCAGGTCCATGATTAGGGTTTGTGGGAGGCATGATCCATCACTGGACCTCAAAATGCATGCTTAGAATATATTCATAGCTGGTCCCTGCAGATTCATGTAGAAGATTAAGCTTAGGCAAGAAAGGGATTGTACTAGACTGAATAAGAAATTGCCCCCACGCACGCTAGTACCATGTACGTATCCTGCCTAGCAATGCAAACACTCCAACTACTACCTCGCATCTGCTTAACGAGCAGAAAAGGTTAGGGAAAAGCAAACAAAGCTCCGAGCTGTGACACCGCTACTAATCGCGCTTTTCCCTACCCACTAGCTAATAACAGTAGCATTGCCATTAACTAATCAACTGTATTCAACTGCACTATCTGAGTTAGTCACACATGCAGTGAAGAGTCCAGAACATGAACCCAGGATCAGGGGGCAAAAGTTCAGAAATGTCGAGACAATCAGTAACACAATATCTCTGTAATTTACCCTGGTAGTCCCTAGCTACAACTGTACTGTCCCACTATTAACAGTGCCATAATACTCCTAGCTCTGTAAAATTAAGGAAGAGTGAAGTGTTTATTTCACTGTGCTCGAGATCACTATGCATATGAGGCAAGTGCGTGCGTCCAACTTGCTTGGGGGGTCCGCCGTTTCGTGCTCGCGAGGAGGAGCTAGGCGTGCCTCCATAGTTGTACTTCTGCTTTTCCGATGGTGCAGCTGAGAAGATTGAGAGAGGAGAGGAGAAGAAGGATCAGTGCCCTGCATGATTGATGGCCCTGTTTGACGCAACATGTCACCTTGTTTGTCGAGACTCACCGTCCTCGGATTCATGATCAGTTCCTGTTTGGCTCCTGCTGTTCAGGCAGAAATGTACTACTGCCACTCGGATCTTTGGAGCGCTGTGCTGTGAGTGACCTGTGTGAGACAGTGAGGGGGTAGCGAGCGATGCAGATTCTATTACAATGATCATCAGGATGTGATCATGCGAGATGAGCTGCTAGATGCAAGTGCTACTGATCGAGTAGCCTGCTGGTACTAGCTTACTGTTAGTCACACTACTCATGTCGGTGAAACGGGGCAAATGTGCAGCAGATGTAATAGCGGATGGTAGCAGTCGTTTTTGATGTCTTTATCTTCATGTGCCTTTTAGACTGATCTTGCTGCAGTATTAGTTACTACAGGTGATGCCAAATCAACTGTTTGATATACCATGCATGCATGTACCTGTGATTCAATAGGAGATACCACTATCCTACTGGAAAAGTTCGCACGTTATATCGATATAAAGTACTGAATGCCCATGTGAAATTCTTCAGCATTGCCTTTCTGAATTCTCTAAACTGTCGAAGGTAGACTGGAGGAGAACGAGACTGATAAGTATGCTAGGATGCAAAATACTAATAACTGAAACAACAATCTGCATGATCCATTATCAACTCATCGTTAGCAGGTAGACTCACTAATAATGAGAGCATAGTTTCAGTCTTTCAGAGACAGCTACACCAAAGAGAAAAACAGAAGAAACACACCCATTTGGACATCTCTGAATTCGTCTGTTCATCTTTACCAACTTACCAAAACATAATCAACGCATATATATCTCTCTTTGCATCTGTACTCATCGAATCTTAAAGATCAGCCAAACATATCGAGTTTCAGTAACCAAAGCAGAAGGAAACAACAGCTACAGGACAGTTTCTCCAAACGAACCCTATTAATGCAACAGCTTCCTGTTTCAGTCTGTACTCTGTAGCAGATGTAAAACCGATGTAACCACTCGACCGTACAAGGCCCAGATACGGTCCACCCCCGGCAGTTCAAGTGGGCCCCAAAATCCTGACTCTCTCTCTCTCCCAGCCCGGCCCACCAGCACACTAAATGCAAGCCCAGGCAGCACGGCCACTGGTCCCCAATTAATGCGCACGCGCAGATGGTGGGCCCGCGTCATAGTCAATGACCCCACCGGTCAGCCCGTGGCGACTCACTGTACACCGCCCACAGGAACGGGACCCACCTGTCGGCGTGAAAGGACTCGTCGAAACGGTGCAGACGGGGAGAGCCGAGCCAGTAAAGGCGGCTGGGTCCCACCGCGCCATTTCGAATTTGCGAGTAGGGTCACCTCCCACCGGGTATTGCTCCGCCGTTTACGCTCCGAAACGTTTCGAATTTCCGAGGTCGCGACGCGGAAGGTGGATCCGCGGTGAGAGTCACGTGGGTGGTGACCGGAATCGGGGTGGTAAAAATCCAAAAGCGAACGCAGCGCAACGCCTAGCTCGTCTTTCGTCTCTGTGTGCGCGTGTTGTTTTTTTGGCTTCTTTTTCGCTTGCCATTCGCGTGGAGGCGTTTCGAAAAGTTTGCTCGGCTCTCCCCGATCGAGAGAGAGAGAGAGAGAGAGAGAGAGAGAGAGAGAGAGAGCAGCGGAGGAGATGGCGGCGGCGGCGGCGGCGGCGACCATAGGGATGATGGACAGCGCGTACTTCGTCGGGAGGGGGGAGATCCTCAGCTGGATCAATGCCACCCTCCAGCTCTCCCTCGCCAAGGTCGAGGAGGTAAGGGCCCCCCCATTTCTTTCCTTCCCCCGCATTCGATTTGGTTCCTCGGATGAAACCATGAAGGCGTAGGGGTCTGATCCTTTTGCAATTTAGGAGTGGGTGTGTGTGGAACTTGTGGTTGGGCTGGGACTCGGACTGTTGTGTGCTGATTTTTCTGGGATTTTGGTCGTGTTCCCCTGCAGGCGGCGTCAGGGGCGGTGCAGTGCCAGTTGATGGATATGGTTCACCCTGGGGTGGTGCCAATGCACAAGGTCAATGCTTCTTCATTCCTGTTGTTTTGGATTTGATCGATCTGCTTTATGTAATGCTGTATAGGTGCCTTAGGCGGTTCTGATGCTTTATTGTCATGGGGTTTGCAGGTGAATTTTGATGCTAAGACCGAGTATGACATGATCCAGAACTACAAGATTCTTCAAGATGTGTTCAACAAGCTGCGGTTGAGCAAGGTATTGGTTCTGGCCTCACAAATGAGTGCTTGGCGTCTTTGATACATGTAGGTTTTCATGATCACGCCCTTGCGGCTTTGATGGTTTCTTGAGATTCTAAATTTATGGTATCAGGAGATTTTCCATTGAAGCATGCCTGTTAGTGACGTTAGCATAGTGAGATGACAAAAATATTCATCATGGACTAAATTTGTTATGCAATATTCTGCGGTACTGAAATCAGATTGATGTTGTGCTTAACGACAAGTGGAAATGAAAACTGGTTAAGCTCTTTTTTGTGTAGAGCTGTAGTGTGTATACTGCAAAGATTGATTTTGTGAGGCATGGATACAAAATGTCTCATGATTCATGATACTGGTTATATCTTAGTATTGTGCAGCAAAAGGCAGCAATGTATTCTGTAACCGTACTATCATTAGGATATGGCAATGTGATTAGGTTGTGTTATTATGTAGAATGATGGTGGACTGGTGATTGCTTTCATGGTTTCTTATCTCAAAATTAGTGCACGTTGAAGATGTACTGTTGTTGTGTTTGTCCTATTTTCACTCTATGTAACAAGGTCATTAGATTAGACTTGTGCCACAGGATGGCATCTGATTGTGAGGCCTTTGTTCTAATGCTTCATCTGTGTCCCTCTGCAACTATTTTTAGATCATATGCCCCATACAAGCTGTTTGTTCTAATCAACAGTGGATGTTCCGTGCAGAATATTGAGGTCAACAAGCTTGTCAAGGGACGTCCATTGGATAACCTGGAGTTTCTGCAATGGTTGAAAAGATATTGTGATTCTGTAAATGGTGGAATCATGAATGAGTATGTGCCTTGGTTATGCTGAATATGTAAGATAATTGCATTCTGTTGCTAATTATGGAGTTGAGATTTGAGAAGGCTTGTGTTCAATTTTCAGAAACTACAATCCTGTAGAGAGGAGGTCTAAGGGTTGCAAAGAACGCAGTCTCAAAGGTTCCAACAAGTCGTCCAAATCACTACAAGCTAATAGATTGTCTAGTGCAAATTCAGCTGATGGAGGTACATTGAATTTGTTTGATACTATGTGCATCACTAAAGTATTAATAAGTGAGACTTCAAGTGTGCCTTTATGGTTCATAGGAGTACTTTGCTCTCATACTGTAATGATTAAATCAATTCAAGGCCTTAAGAGAAGCTGGATGGTGCCACCAGTCTCTCATCTACTTAGGAGTGTTTTAAAATCAATGCTCCTTTTTATTTGGTACCATAGAAGCATGATTCACTTGTATTTGATCTCATTTAGTAATAGCTCTATTTTTGCCCAATTAAACAGGTCCATGCGTTGGTAAAGTCAATGTTATCTCTGAAGAGCATTACATAGAACAGATTCAGCAATTATCTGAGAAGGTATGGACCATATAATCCAAGTAGCTGATTCATCTTAATAATGCGACCTGCATCTTTTAAAGTTTCTTCTAATGTCAAAAGCCCAATGACTATTCTGTTTGACTGTTGTAGCTATCCACTTCTTTGAAGTTCAGTGTTCTGTAGACTGTAGTTGTTTACATTGATATTGCTACCTTTAATCCACATTCTAATCATCCTCGCTATGTAGCGTGTTAGGGTCATGTTTTGCATCTTCAATGCTAAGTAAATTGCAAACTTATGAGTTTTGATAATGCGAATATCTCTATTGAGTTGCAGATTGCAGGCCTGAAAATTTCTATGGATAGCGCGGAGAAAGAAAGAGACTTCTACTTTTCTAAGCTGCGCGACATTGAGATACTGTGTCAAAGACCAGAGTTGGAGCATCTTCCGGTAAGTAATTAGCTAGGGATCTTCCAGTATTGTGCCTGTTTGCGGGCGCAGATTAAGGCTAATAATTTCTGAGGTCCTATACTCCTATTCATTGACCAAATAGTTTCTTTTCTTTTTGGTTTACTACTAACCTGATGAATATTGTCTTGACAGATGACCAAGGCTGTACAGAAGATACTTTATGCGGCTGATGCAAGAGATTCGCCATTGCCTGAGGCTAATGAAATAATCACCCGGTCACCAAGCATGTTCCCAGATGAAGCCTAGGGAGAAATGGCATCAATACACTCTTAAGCTATATTTAGATAATTTTGTGGCTATCCTATTTTGTCGAATCGTTGTAAATGAGTAAATAACGCTTGACATTAGCTACTTGTGGCAAGTCCACCGAAGATATCTTCGGTTCTGACTTGAATGTCAACTTCCTAGAACTAGTTGTGAACTGAATATGCATTAGCAATGCTCTTCTCTCGTTTCTGATCTCCTTGGAGATATTTTATGGCATTCGACAGCTCGTAACTTGCTTTTTTTCTGGAATGGTTATGTTGGATTATTTATCTTGATGCTCCACGTTTGATTTTCATTTTCTCTAAAATGTGGACCCATTATCTATGGTCTATTAACAGGTGCAAATTTTACAAATCCATGTAACTATGAAACAACAGAAGTGAATACTAGTAACAGCTATACGAGGAAGGATGAGTATCTGTCACAGCTATACAGGAATAGCGAAAAAACAAAGGTGAGTATCTGTAACAGCTATGCCTATATCCCCATACGAGGAAGAAATGAGTATCAACAAAGGTGAGTATCTGTAACAGCTATGCCTATACGAACATCTGGAAGAAATATGAGTATCTCGGAGATCGAACATACTGTTGTCGCTCACTTGCTCTACATACTGTTGCGGTTCACTTGCTCTACGTTTGCTGCCCAATTGCTCCTGTAGTGCATCATGTTAATTGCTGCATTGCCCAATTGCTCCTGTAGTGCATCATGTTAGTTGCTGCATTGCCGGTGCCTAGCTCTAGAAAACAGAAAGGAAACATTTATAATTAAGTAAACAGGAGTTAATAATAATTCATCAGGAGTTAGCAATAATTCACCATGAGTTAACAATAACAAACAAAATAGATATAAATTAAGGCTAATACCTTGTCTTGAGTCTTCACCTCCTTAGCCTGCGACTTCGCCTCGGCCTCACGAGGCTCCGGAAGCTTCTCAGATTGCGTCTTCACATCATGGGACTCTAGAAGCTTCTCGAATTTCTTGATGAGATGCGAGATGATGCCATCTAACTCTTCGCTAGCTTTGACCGCTTTGTACAGCAATGTTGCTACAGCCGCACAGAACGTGAAAATGGTGAGGATACAGGGAGGAATGCGCATGGATCCCTTGATCCTCCTTTCTACAGCTTCCTTGAAGTAAGCAGTCTGCCAACCACCGATCAGAAGAACCAATAAGCTTGAGAGTAAACTAGGATCTCCTGAGAATCTCTCCTGGACTAATTTGAGAATCCAGCCCAAGAGGGAGAGCCGGGTGTTGGGGAAGGCGCTCTGGGTGTTGGGGAAGCCGGGGACGCAGCTACGAGGACTGGCAGTGGAGGCGGTGCAGGGAAGCGCGGAGGCGGCGCCGTCGATCTCCGGGAGTGCCGAGACATCGTCTTCCCCGTCAGTCCTGCGCGCGCGCAGGCGCAACACGTCGAAGTGGGTGACCGAGTTGATCGGGGTAAGGCGGATGGCCGCGGAAGGAGTCGAAATCTGCTTCCCCAAAACGAAATCGCGTGACGAACTCGGCAGAAATGAGATGATGGTGGTGGCGGAAGAGGATTGGGGGGTTTACCGAACATTCCAGGCCCGGATAGCGGAGCGATACCAACGCCATGGCCACCGTCGCGGGGAGGCGAGAGGGCGCGGTCGCCATGGGGACGCGGTGGGGCATGGCCGCAGGCACCGAGGTCGCGCCGCCCGCGGGGAAGCGGAGCGTCATCGCCATTGCTGTCGGCCAGCGACCACGGGGAGTTCCGAAACTAGGGCTTGGCCAGTAGGTCTCTCTCCGGCGCGGACGCGGCGAAATGGCGGCGCGATTCCGAGGTAGAGGACGACACCCACTTTTATAGGTGGTGATTATTGATTAACCAGTTGGTTATTGGCGAGGCAGCATAGATTACGTATCCTCCAAGTAGCTGATGATTAAGCCGGTCTAAGTTAACTCTTGTTGGTTATTAGCGAGGCAGCCGTGCCCTGAATTTGCACTGCGGCAAATTTGGCTATATGTACTGAAGTGATCAGAAGTTTCAGTGTACATGCTACCTCATGTAGATTCAGTGCTTCAGAAATACGCAAAACAAAACAAACTATTATCATATAACTAATTGAGTATCAATCATTTTAAATTTGAAAATGAACTAATACGATTATTTTAAAGTAACTTTACCATATAATTTTTTTTAAAAAAAATTATACTATCATTTAGTAGTTCAGGAAGCATGCTTAAAAAACGAGAGGAGTTTTCATCCTAACTTGTCCTCTCGAACTCAACCTTATAAAGAATGTTATTTCATTCAGACTGGAGTATTTACCAGTGTGATGAGAATGAATCAGATAAGGGTTCCACTTGCTAGAAATCCTTAAACCAGCTTATAACATCAAATCCAGACATCCAGATTGCCCAATAACACATTAAAATTTTTTAAGATACTTTCGTGATTCATCAACACAGGCATCATCCTTTTTATTATTATTATTTTGAGCAAAGAGTACAGCCATCAAAATTTGTGAAAAGACAATCAGTTACTCCTGCAAAACATATATAGCATGCTATCTTCATTAAATGGTCATATTAGATATTCAGATATCCAACCTTACATTTGGGTCATTGAGTCTACCAGAATACTAGTTACCATCTAAAATAGAAAATAGATTACAATGAGTGATTCCAGTGAATCTGTGAATAGTGCCACCAGCAAACCAAACCAAACGACTATAACTTAATTATGTTGTTCTAGTTTTCTTTTTTCCATTTGCATCCATACATAATGAGACCCTTTGCCACTTTTATAAGACCACCTTTGCTTTGCAATATTCTGTAAACCCCAAGCCAGAAGAGTCGGATATAGTTGGTGCCAACCATCTCATAGTAGACGGTTCGGAAGTATAGTTGGACATTAAGGAACCTGAGATAAGCAGATAATTGTTAGTACACAAAGCAATGAAGACATTTTTCTCTAGGGAACATCAACCACAGTAAACAAGGATCTGTAATCAGAAATTGGTTCAATAGACAGGGATCAGCAACCCTTTACCCATCCCAAACCCAATTCACTTATTTAAAGTTTAAAATGAATATGTATAATCCTGAATAGTCACAATTTGCAATATAACCCTCAATCACAATTACACTAAGAATTAGTATAAAACTCTACAATTCAGAGGTTCATGCCTTCTTTGTCAATGAAATATACAGAACAGGAAAAGTATTCCGGTGATATGAATGTGGTAACAGAAAAAAAAAGCTTGATTACTTATATACGAGGCATGCTTATCGATGATAATCAAGGTTAATATACTAAAACACTGACCAGATCAATCCTGCAAGGACGCCGTACGTGCCCTGTCATAAGAACAAAAAGGCAAAAACGTTAACTAGTGAGGCTTGAAGCATATTTGAATGGGATTTGCATGTGCCTGTTTGCTGACGAGAAGTGGGTATTTTATACCTGATAACCACGGCTATCCTTGAAAGACAAAACAAATAACAGAACTGCAATGGAAAGAAAAGGATCATGCGCTATCAGCATAGGTGCAAACAAACCATACAAATTAAGTACGAAAAGGATATACAGTCGAACGTTAAAAGAAAGTATTTTATAAAGCTTAAATTATTGAGCATATATGAGTAGAATGCATAATCACGTATTTCATGCACGTATTTCTTTCTACATGACATATTCTGCGGACATAGTAACCCATGGTAAGAAAAAGTCATGGTAAGACAAAAAGCCTTTCTGACTCACCTAGTTGTATCCGTGCACATATGTTATTTGCCCTGCCGTTCCTTTGCAACTCTGCTGCTAAGATGCTTAGCTTGTAGAACATATATCCAAGAACAATGTCCACGAAAAGGAATGGTGTCATGTTGCATAGTTGGCTAAAACCGGCGATAACTAACAAAGCACCTGCAAACATAACACCCAGAGTAACTCATGTACAAATCACCTCAGTTCATCTCTGGTGCTGCATGCCTGCATTATTCGTGTTCATATATATATTATAAAAGTGTCTTTCTATGCAGACTGATAAGCTAAGAGAAACATGAAAAACAGGATCTTATCCCGTGTAAGAGACTGAACTAAGGGGGTGTTTAGATGGGGCTAAAACTTTTTAGCCCATGTCACATCGGATGTTTGGACGCTAATTTGGAGTATTAAACATAGACTAATAAAAAAAACTAATTTAATAAATGAGAGCTAATCCGTGAGACGAATTTTTTAAGCCTAATTAATCCATAATTATAAAAAGTTTACTGTAGCATCACATTGTCAAAATCATGACGTAATTAGACTCAAAAGATTCGTCTCGCGAATTAGTCCAAGGATATGGAATGGGTTTTGTAATTAGTGTATGTTTAATAATCCAAATTAGTGTCCAAACATCCGATGTGACAGGGACTTGGAATAAGTCCCTGTAAACCAAACAAACAGGCCCTAAATATTGGAGCATTTAGTTAACCGGTACTGGAGATGACAGCCCTGAGGAGCAGCCTTAGCAATTTCACAAGGGCAGGTGGTGTTTTTTTTTCACAATAAAGGAAGAGACAAGCATACAGGAGGTGAATTTCGGGCCTATTCACTTTTTTCATAACAGAGGAGAAGTGCAGGACTTCGAACACAATGGTAAGAGAGAGAGAGAGAGAGAGAGAGAATAAATTTCAGAAAACTCCATGTTTAATGGTTAAAATTACAGAAAACCTATTGTGACATAAAAAAAAGAATGGTGCTAGAAGAGAGAAATTGATGGGTTTTGTTTTTCTTTTTACCGGAGAGGATGCCGATGTGGAAACTGCGGCAGCGGAAGAGGTTGCCGGCGGCGCCGATCTCCCGCAGCACGCGGAAGACGGGTTCGAGGGGGCCGGACACAAGAGCATGCCATATAGCGTCCATCTCCTCCCGGCCCTTCCCAGGGGGGTCGGAATCCGCGAGAGAAAAATACGTGGCGTCTTCTTCGGACAAGTTCTCCGCCCACCACGGCGATCCGGGCAGTGTGTACGAGCCTGGAGCAGGATATGGCGGCAGGGCTTCCGAGCAGCCAGAAGCGGGAGACGCGGCCGCGCAGGACAACCTCAAGCCAACGACTCCATTGCCACGCTTGCTGCATCGAAGAAGGCCAGCGCTAACCCTATCGGGGCCGGGCCGCGTCCCCACTGGCCGGCGGAGCAAGGCGCCGGCTGATGGGCAGCATCGGAGAGAAGACGCCATTGTGGCGGAGCTCATCGCCATGATGCCTAGGGTCTTAGCACCCGGCGTTCTATGGCGGGTCGGGGGAGTTCCAAAATTAGGCGGCGGCGGCGGCGGGAAGACGAAGGGGCGACCGCCGACCGGGCGAGTGCTCGATCAATTAGGGCCTTGTGTCGGGGAAGAGGATACAACTACGCGAGCGGAGAGAACTGGGTCTGGTCCGGCACGACCGTGCGCGCCCGTGTCCGGTCGGGTTGCGCCGTGCGCGCGCCCGAGACCAACCAAGGATGAGTGGACCGAGACCGACCGTCGACCGAGGAGGAGTGGACGGCTGGTTTCGAGTCCCTCCTTCCAAAAGTATAAAAGTACCATTTCATTCTTTGATTCTTTTAAAAGTCTATTTCCTCCATCCATAATTATTGATGTAAAAACACGAGGCCTGGAAGATCTAATTAAACTCCAGTGCAGGTTCAAAACTTGCCTTTGGGTGTGTGAGCATGCCAGTTGATTTGATCCTATAATCAACAAGAAACAAAGACCAAGAAACCGCGGTTAAATCCATAAACAATAGTCAATCGGCTAGTTGCCGATGACGTACCATTTGTCTTTGAGTCGATGTCATATGTAGATCGGTCGGCAGTCATGAATAAGAAAGAACTAAACCTACTTGATCGGCTGTAGATATTAATGATATATAATCCTTATGTCGATATATACTTAAATCAAATGATTGGGATAGATCGGTCGCCATGCCGAGACAGTATAAATTACTTAGATCGAAATATATATTAACAACAAGACTATATATATTCATAGCATAGCCGATCAGATAGATCTAGCATATATCGGCTAATACTCCGATACCACTCTATATTAAGATATTAAAGTAAGTAAGATATACCAAACGAAAAGCCTAATATACCTAAATGCAACAAGGTCTCAAAATAAAAGGGCAGATCTAGCATATCAATTAAACACATAAAATATAAAGCTAAATCAGGTAAGATCGGCTGAAACCCCGATACTACCCTAATCGGCAACCAAAGACAGGCTAGAGATTGAGATTCTAATCACGACTCATAAGATCAAACTCAACTGATACAGCTATAAGTATGAAAAGGACAATATCTAGACAATTAAGCCGTTGAATGTGTCATAGAGTGGTGAATATCTTATATAATCTAAGTCAACATCGGTATTTAACTTAATCGACTGCCTTCTATTAGCATATGTTAGCTGATTGTAGGTTAGATAGCGATATTGCTAGAGATTATGTAAGATATTTGATAACTCGACGAATTACATAAACAAGATTAGAGTGTCATAAAGATGGAAGCACTAATCCCGAGAACGCAAGCCACCATAACAAGTTTTACCTCTTGTTGAAGATCGAAACCGATGCAGCTCAACCCGAAAGCAAGAACTCGTCGAAACAAAACGAAAGTGAAAAGGGTGGCGATGCGCCGAGATTGTATTGAACGTGTGTTAGTTTGATTACATGGGGTTCGGGTCTATTTATACCCGAGAATTACAAAGTATGTCCATATCAGACACGATTCTTATCTCTAACAAACTCTAGGATATCATAAGTTTTTGCGGCAGATTTTTGACCACACATATCTCTAAGGAATTAACATAAAATATCCTAATTAATAGATACAATTGCCTTCTCAGGACTCTATCCATGCGTGACAATCATCATGAAGCACATTAACCTAAATCGACAACATATGTTGTATCATATTGTCGGATTCGGCTTCATCGGCTAACCTTGTCCGACTCGAACTCTGCCGATCTTAGTCGTAGCCGATTCGGACTTCAGCCGATCTTTACTCTGTTTCCGGGATAATCTCTATCTCGATTCCTCCTTTACATCTGATTCTTGGATTACCAAATTTGGTCGTTAACAATAATATAAGGGATTTTAATTTTTTGCTTGTATTGTTTGACCACTCGTCTTATTAAAAAAAATTGTGCAAATATAAAAAATGAAAAGTTATGCTTAAAGTACTTTGGATAATAAAGTAAGTCGCAAATAAAATAAATAATAATTCTAAATTATTTTTAGTAAGACGAATGGTCAAACAGTGCAAGCAAAAAGTCGAAATTCCTTATACTTACTCGTAAAGTAAGTCGTTTTGGACAGCGACACGGTCTCCAAATACAACTTTGACTTCTTGTTTCTATAAAAATATTTATTGAAAAGTGATATATGTATACTTTTATGAAAGTATTTTTTTCAAGACAAATCTATTCATATAATTTTTATATTTTTAAACTCAATGACTTGAGAGTTATTCATGATTTATATTACGAGTACGAAGGGAGTATTATGGGACGGAGGGAGTAAGTCATATTTGTAATCACTATGTGCTATATTAAATTTTTAATCGGAACTCAAAAAGTCATTTTAGTACTTATTGTTTACATGTTCATTAGTTTTGTCACATGATAAATAAATTAACTGCATATTGGTTTTGGTGTAAAAAGAAATAGGAATTTGACTTTTGCAAGGAGGGAGTATATTGTAACAGTGTCGGTCTCTCCTGCGCCGTTAGATTTGCATAGTGCGGTAGAGACGAAGGAAGGTAAAGTGCTAAACTGGAAAAAATAGAGTGTCGGCCCGCCCAAGTTTAGCCCAAGAGTAATTGGTTTTGTCGACAGATCGCTTGACCCATGATGGATTTGGATACAAATTTTGCTGCAAGACCAAGACACATAAAAATATTTCCCAGTTGGTCAGTGTTTTACCATGGACTAGTCTATCTTAAAGCGTGCATCGCATCTGCGACCTAGCAAGCTAATTAGATAGATAAGTTTTGCCCACATGGACAATTTCCAAATCTGAAGTTTGTTTTAGTCACCTCCAACTAGCTTAACTCCATTGTGTGACTAGCCGTGTTCGATGATCAATGCTCAAAACTAACGCTGTTTAGTTTTGCATAATTGGAGCAGCAATACAAATTAATCTTCACACTTGAGCAATTAAGATTGTGGCCTCTCTCTTGGTTCTTCGCCCGCATCATCCTTAGATCCATGACTGATTTGATGACATTTTCCTGCATTGAAAAAGAAAGTTTTTGAATATACAAGTAGACAGTGATATGAGCAGATCGATAAACACAGATCAATAGTTCCCATGGGAGAGCACTAGTTTTGTATGATAGTGCAATGGTATCATGGATATTGATTAATTCCTATCATTCTATGGTTAAACCTACATAACTTTGCTTCTGCTACTGAATTTTTAAACTGCCATGCTACAACTATGGGTGGAGATTAAGATTCAGACAGATATAACCCGGGGCCAAAACAACCACTTGTGCTTAAAATAGACAGTGCATGACCATGATATCCAGAAATAGCATCCGTTTTAGTGTTACGGTGGTGATCCAGTGCAAATAAATTGGGTAGTAATTGTTGCAAAAACAGACAGTTTTGCACCTGTTTGATATATTACTATAAGATGTATTTAAGGGTAATAGTTTCTGAGGTCCAATTCATTTGACCAAATACTGTAAAGCTACTGTAAAGCTCAAATGAAAGGCTGTATGGGTTGGCAACAGAAAGGCTGCAGTAAACAAAATTGGATGGACAACAAGGTTTAACCCAACAAATAATACCTCCTGGAAACTTATCAAGGTAATCAGTATGATAACAGCAAACCCTCAAGAATAATTACTACTTCCTCCGTTTCACATTATAAGATTTTCTATCATTGCTCATATTCATATAAATATTAATGAATCTAGACACATACATCTATATGAATGTGGGCAATGTTATAAAGTTTTATAATATGAAACGGAGAGAGTACTAACTTAATTGCAAGTGTGTGCAGCAGTAGGAATTGTGCTTCTACACATAGTTCTTACTGTTCAAATGAGGACAAGGAGCTTGATTAATGTGTGCAACAGGCTATGTGACTCACTCACCAGACAACCATCTCGCACTAGAGATCCTCCTACGTTGGTATTGCCCAACCTGAAGTCCCAACCATACAGCCTTTCTGTTGCTTACTGCAGAACAAAATAAGTACGGTTACATCCACATATAGTACGGCTTTTGTTTAATCTGAACTCCTTTAAATCTCGTTACCTTTTTCACACCTTGATCACGGGGTCTCTTTGTTAAGTTCCTGCTTCTTGTCGATGTTCTGGTGGCAGCCACTAGAGAAAAAAAAAAGTTAAGCAAATTAACAAAACTCCTCAATTTCAGTTTTAATGGAGGAAATTCACAAACGAAAAATCTACCTGTACTTCCCCGTCTTGGTAATCTTAAGAAGATAAGAACCAAGACCTTCGAGCTCCTTGCCGGACTTAATGGCATCATACGTGAATGCAATGGCGGCAGAGGAGAAAACAAAAACAGAAAGAACAGATGGAGATAATCGGACTCGGTGCCCAACTTGATCGGCAACCTTCTTCCGGATGCTGGGATTCTTCACAGCTGTGATAAGAAGTGCAGATACAACATGGAGAAACAGGAACAAAGTGGATGTGCCCGTGCCCGACATGGATGATCCACCTGTAGAAATGTACACAAATCGCTCAAACAGGGTAGAGGCGGCGGCGTTGCTGTCTGGAATCTGCGGCGTGGCCGGTGCGGAGCTTGTGGCCTCGGTGTCGGGCAGGGTGGAGATGGCGTCGTCGGCCAGGGTGTCATCACCGTCGGGCAAGGGGGAGTTGGTGCCGTCGCTCTTGGGCCTTCGTGCTCGTGTGTGGGAGCGGCGGGTGACGACGGGGGAAGCCAACTGCTCGATTAAGAACACGCGAACTCATCGGTGGGAGAAAAGGGGATGGGCGGAGGAGCACGGGCGGTTATGGGGCATACCAGAGACGGAAGGCAGCCCGACGAAGACGCCGGAATCACGAAGACGCCGGAGTCGCCGCCGCGGGGAACGAAGACGCCGGAGTCGCCGCCGCGGGGAACGAAGACACCGGAGTCGCCGCCGCTGGGAACGAAGTCGCCGGAGTCGCCGCCGCAGGGAAGCGGGAGGGCGGTGTCGCCGATCGCTGCTCGATTACGAACACGCGAACTCATTACTCAATATTCATCAGTGGAGCGGGCTCGCGGGGCGGCGGTGGAGCAGAGCCACCGAGGTCGGCACCGGGTGGAGGCGGAGCGTCGAGAGCGACATTGATGCGGCGGGGGAGGAGCGAACCTAGGGTTTGGGATTAGCTCTCTCTCTCTGTCTCTCCTATGGCGCGGGGCGCGGCGGGCGGCGAAACGAATTCGAGAGGTACCCCGACTCGGGGGGAAGACGATGGCGCCGCGACGCAGAGGAGGAGGCGAGCGAGGGTTTTGTACTTGTCACTGACTGCTGGGTCCCACACGGGGACGGGGGCCTGACCCTCTCGCCGGCGCGGGCGTGCGATGCGGCACCGGACAGCGTGTTTTGGATCGATTTGAGCCATTTTGGGTCGATGTCAAAAGGTATACCAATTTTTAGTAGTTTGAATAGTAAACGGGATTGTTTGGTTTAAAATTAAATAGTTGGCAATATGTTTAATTTGGTATAATCCTATAACTTTTTTCATCTAATATATAGGATATAATTTGGCATCCATTTGACATCGATTCAAACACACTCATTTACAATATCATCCTATCAAAATCGAAACGGTAGTAGTGCAAAAAACTTGGCTTAGTTTTAATATTACCAATATTTTGATAGGGTATTAAATCAAACAAGTCCTAAATACAATTATGGTTGAAGAACACACTAGAACCGGGCGGTTAAGTACCATTCTGCAGAAAATTGGAGTAAAAATCTTGCACATTAGGATTTGTGACCCGACTAACCCTTCTCCCCAGCCTTTTAATCAAATCAGATTTGTCTTAGTGTAGACTAGTTGTGCACATTAGGATTTGTGACCCGACCAACCCTTCTCCTCCCTTAGCCTTTTAATCAAATCAGGTTTGAGAATATTCATGTCTTGACTAGTTGTGCAATAGTCTTTTTGAGCATCTTTGGTAGTTATATGTGGTTTCGTTTTCACGAGCATAAACTATCTCGTATACGAGAGACTGAGCCAAAGTGGGCACCCTAGAATCTTTATGCTAACCTACATGCGTTCCTCGGTACTCCACTTATATAAATCATGATTTGTAATTGGCATCCATGCACGGATATATCATAGTTGGGTTGGTCTTCGTTGAGCTTAGATACATGTGGGGAAATGAGAAATCGACAACTTCATTACATTGTTCTAGGTGTCATTTCCATATCCATACGTAAAGAGAGACTTTATCACTTTTGTGAGACCACCTTTTGTTTGCAGTAATCTATAAACACCAAGCCAGAAGAGTCTCATATGCTTCAAGCCAGTCACTTCAGAGTAGACCATTGAGAAATATAACTGGACATTAATGAACCTGTGATCAACAGATAATTATGAGTACATAAACCATGCAAATATAGGTCGGAACCAAAAGGGAATAATATTATCAACAGGCTTCCTAAGGCATCAATAAAGAGATAAAAAATATTCTGCTCAAGGGAATATTAACCAACCGGTAATTAAAGAATTGTAATCAGAAATAGAATCAACAAAGAGGGATCAGCAATCTTTACCATTCCAAACACAATTATATTTTACAATAGAACACTTAAATTTTAAACCAGATGTCATTTCCCTCCAGAAAAAAAAGGAGGTGGCTGTGGAGTTGGGGGGAAGCCTACTTATGCATTGCATCTAGAGCAAGATTAACCTATTTAAAGTTCAGAAGGATTTGTATAATAACCTAAACACCACAGGTTTGCAATGTTAACCTTCAATCACAATTACTTTGGGAATTAACATCAAAATTTTCAGGTCATGCTTTTTTTCAATGATATTTACAGAAAAAGAAAAATACACCGGTGATGAATTGGATGTTGCCAGAAAAAAAAGACAACTCAATTATATATAGAGCAGATTTATAATAGATAGTCAAAGATAATATGCTGAAACACTGACCAGATCAATTCTGAAAGGATGCCATATATGCCCTGTCATAAGAAAAAAGAAAGGCAACAAAATTAATTAGTGAGGCATGAAGCCTTGTTTGAGTAGGTCTGCATGTGTGAGTTTGTTGAGAAGGGGGGGTCATACCTGAGAAGAACTGTTATCCTTGAAAGACAAAATAAATATCAAAACTGCAGTGGAAAGAAATGGATATGTGCAATCAGCGTGGGAGAAAGAATACATAGTACAAATGGAATACATAGTGAAACATTAAAAAAAGAAAGTAATTTGTAGAGTTTAAACTATATAGTGTCAAGTGTTATACTGTGTGTTTAGAGGTATTGTGTTAACACTTGTACTCTAACATGTGGATCATATTTGTGATATGTCTTTCTACATGACATCCTGCAGATGGCAGACATGGTAACCAAAAGTCAAGGTAGATAAAAAGTATTTTTACTCACCTAGTTGTATCCTTGCACATATGTTNGGTGNTGGACCGTTNCTTTGCAACTCTNCNGCCAAATGCTTAACTTGTAGAATATATATCCAAGAACAATGTCCACGAAAAGGATAGGTGTCGTGCTGCAGAGTTGGCTAAAACCGGCGATAACTAACAAAGCACCTGTAAGCATAACACCTTGAGTAAGTCATGTACAATTTACCTCGATTCATCTTTGGTGCTGCGTTATACGTACATTAAAATTTAAAAGTATCCTTCTGAGCAGACTGATAAACTAAGCAAAAACATAAAAGATAAGATCGTATTTCTTGTAAGATACTGAACTTTTGCTTCAAAAGTAAAAAAAAACGAAAAGTAGTATTTAGTTAGTCGGTATGAGAGATGACACCCATGAGGAGCAGCCAAGCAAACCATAAGGGCAGGAAGTGTAGTTTACTATAGAGGAATAGACAAACGCACAATAATCGAACAATCTAACATGCGAGTTGGTTTTACTTAAAAACAATGGCGCGACGTGAGAAATTGTTGGATGTCTTTTACCGGAGAGGATGCCGATGTGGAAGCTGCGGCAGCGGAAGAGGTTGCCAGCGGCGCCGATCTCCCGCAGCGCGCGCAAGACAGGTTGGAGGGGGCCAGACAGAAGGGCGTTCCAAATAGCATCAATCTCTTCCTGCCCCTGCCCAGCGGGATCCAAATCCACGAGAGGAAAAAACTTCTCATCTTCCTCTTTCAATTCCTTTGCCCACCAAGGTAGTGGGGGCAAGGCTTGCCGATGCGGGAGAGGCAGATGCGGCGGCGCAAGACAGCTTCAAACCAACGACTCCATTGCCACGCTTGCTGCATCGAAGAACACCGGCGCTAAACCTATCGGCGCCGNGNGTCCCCACGGCCGGCGGAACNGNGCCCGNCGTTTGGGCGNACCCGGAGGAAGACGCCATTGTGGCGGNGTCATCGCATGAACTAGGGTTTTAGCACCCGGGTGGCGGTGGCAGGAAGGGGAAGGAGAAGGGATAGGGGCGACGGGCGAGTACTCCAGGTCCAGGGAGAACTTGTCGCCGTCTGACACACGGATCCTTTTAGAAAACTTATTCCATATAAAACTATGTTTAAATTTATGATTGAAAAGTTTTAGCGTGTTACATTATATATATACGGATACATATTTAAAGTATTAAACGTAGACTAATAACAAAATAAAGTACAGATTCCGCCTGTTAGTTGCAAGACGGATTTATTAAGAATAATTAATCCATTATTAGTAAATGTTTACTGTAGCACCATATTGTCAAATCATGAAGCAATTAGATTTAAAAGATTCGTCAAGCAATTTACACACAGTCTGTGTAATTAGTTTTTGCGTGGGAACTAAACAATGGCCTAAATAGATCTAACAAAATTTTTCATGATCATTTTGGCAATACCAACGTCATTAGCGTTGTCCCCTTAGCCCTAATAAAAGCTAAATCACTACTGTGAAGGTAAATCAAATTGAATGGGACATGGGCTCGATTTCGCTGTCCTAGAGCGTGGCGGCATGACATGCTAGGGAAGCCAGTATCTCCTCACCGTTCGTGACAGACCGGAAGCGCTAGCGGACTCATGTCTCATGGACGAGATGGTGGCTACGAAAGGAGCGGTTGCGGCGGTAGGGATGACTGGATCCAACATCCCCACGGTCAGGTTCGACGTCAGCAATGGTCTGACGTGCGCAGGTTTTCGTCGAGTGGGGTGGTGCTAGAGCAGGAGGCCGCGAGCGAAGAGTCAACGTCTCAACGACGACCGTGACTGGAGATAGCTTGCATTGGCTCAATGATGTCGACGTAGGCCGTGGTAGTGAGCAGGGTGGCGCTGGAGTAGGTGTGCCCCTAGCTTGGGAGAAGCCGGCCGGGGAGGAAGGGCCGAATAGAGAGAGAGATAGAGAGAAGGGAGGAAGGAAGAAGGGAAAGAAGGAGATAATGATACGTGGGCATCACATGCTAACTCAGCAGGATGGAACAGGTCAATGTTGCACGTCCGTGAAAACTACATTCAACACTATTTCACTTCTACTTGTGATACAAAATATATAAGATTTCATTCCCAAATTTTAGAGTTATTTTTTTTTTCAGTGAACCCAGCGTTATTTTTGGCTGGCTCCACCCCTAACCTCATACTAGTTGATGCCCCGCGTTTTTCTGCGGGATATATGTTAGATAATGGAGAAATGATAAATGATTTGCATTGAAATATTATGAAAATGATTTGAGAATGATAATTTAGCATATGTATGTTTAGTTTTAAAATAAAATAAATTGTAGATATAATTACTATGTGTTTGCATGTTGAGTTTTGTGAGCTTAATTGGGTGATGCGGCATGCTTGCATGTAGGTCTTAGTAGTGCTAATAAATACTATGTTTGTATATTGAGCTTTAGGAGTGTAGTGGGCATTAGCTTTATAGAAAGAAGAGATGTGATGGGAGCATGAACATGTTGTTGTCTGTTGCATATGGCTGAAGAACATATAAAGTCCAAGATTTGCTCCGTTCCAACAAAAAGTATCTCGAGGTATCGATACCTCACATCAATATCGTTTCCGATTGTTGAATCTAGCTAGACAGGATTGACATTATTATACCAAGCAATAAAAAATGATTTGGTACCGTGAGATATCTGTATCTCGAGGTGGACCGGAGCAAATCTCATCAAGTCAACGAGCGAATACTAAGGGCCTGTTTGGGGGAGCTTTAAATTCTGAGAAGCAGCTGTTTGGTAGCCAGCTTCTGAGAATCTGGAAAAGCTCTGAAACCCAGCTTCTGGCTTCTTCATTTTTTAGAATCTATAACTGCAGATTCTCAGAAGCTGTTGACTGTTTGGGACAGCTTCTAACAGAAACAGTTTTTAGGAAAAGCTGCAGCTGGGACAAGCTCACCAGACAAGGCCTGAGACCCGGCTTGGTTGGGCTCTCGCGAATACTCAGACCCGGCTTGTCTCGCCTCGTTCTCATCAAAAACGGCCCGGTTCGGCTCGTTTAGCGGCGCAGCCACACGCACCGGCAAGCCGGCCTCTCCACTCACGGATGGCCCAGCCCAACCAAGCTGAGGTCTCCCCGGTCTCCAGGGGTGTTTTCTACTCGGTATTGGAATTGAGAGGCAAATTAAATAGGATAGTTTGAGACGGTATAAATACACTTTATACACCGACCCCCGATCGAAACCCGTACGTTTTTCTGACAGCGGCGCGCGGCCACGGCACGAGATGACGACGCGCTCGCAGATCCAACCTCTCCCCTTCCGCAGGACGAGGATGGACGCTGCCCTCGCCGCCAGCTCGTGTCAGGCGGTGACGGACGCAATCCGCGACATCTACGCTCAAGACATGGAAAAGCTCAACTTCGAGCAGCTCTACAGGTTTTTTTCGATTAATTCCTGTATCCTTCTTAAACCCTAAACCTTAGTTTTAGGTGTAAGACCGAATTAATGTTCAGATAGTTTTTTTTTTTGTGCCTGATTGATCACCAGGCGTGTTTACGAAGTGGTCCTCAATAAACACGGCGAGCTGATGTACTCGGAGGTGGCGACCGCCCTGACGGCGGAGGTGGAAGGCCTCCGCACGTCGCTCGTCGCCGTCGCGGACGGCGGCGGCGGCGGCGGAGCGTTCTTGCGGGAGCTGCTGTCCAAGTGGCGCCGGCACACCGAGGCCGTCGCCGCCGTCCGCGACATGGTGATGTACATGGAGCGGACGTTCATTGTGACGTACCGGAAGGTGTCGGTCCAGGAGCTCGGCGTGAAGCTCTGGCGCGACGGCGTGGTCTGCTCCGGCGACGTCATGCCGAGGCTGGTCGAGGCGGTGCGGCGCGAGCGGGCGGCCGCCGCCGAGCCTGGCGAGCTGATGGCCGGTGTGGCCGAGATGCTGACGAAGCTTCGCGACAAAGTGTTAAGCCAGGTCATGGACGCGTCGTCTGTCGACGACTATAGTAGCGCCAGTTTGGAGAAGTCTGTATCAGAGTATCAGTAGAGGACACTTTAACCTTTAGTTTCATCACGTCAGATTAATTTCTTTTTTTGTTAGGTACGATATATTCTGTGTTGGTTAAGTACTTCAGTTGAATCTCTTTTTGGTTATAGGAACATCGGTTTAATCTTTTTGGTTAAGTATATACACTTCAGTTTAAGCTCTACTTTCAACTACTACCACCATAGAAGAGTTTCGGTAGTTGTAAACATATATGCTCTGTTTGTTGATTCAGAGTTGTTTGTTGTGGTTCTGAAAGTCCGAACGCACCACAAAATTGGCATTATTGTGATGCATAATTCTCGTTCGATCACTCCAAATTTTTTTCCCATTCCATTGCATAGCACAAAGTGGCGCTAAGATTGAACTATAATACAGTACTATACACAACTTCTCCCACCCCGCTATATTTAATGAAATAGCACAGTCTTGTGCTGATTCCATTAAAAAAAAATTCTCCCACACTCTCATCTAGTAAAAAGTTATTATATCGGCTGGGCAAGCATAATCAACAAGTTAAAAAAGTGGACGCTTCAGGACTGAAAAAAAAAGCATCCATGATTCCACCATGTGGGATGTTTTTTTTTTTGGTTGTCTATATATCTTGTGACAGAAAATCCCACCTCCTATCATTCGAATTTTGGACCACTGGATACGCTTTAAGATTCGTGCAGACCCCCTAACCCTAACTCCTCTCATCCCCCGTTTAGAACGCCGCCACCACTCCTATCCTCGCGCCGTCGCGCGATTCCACCGCCACCACCACTGCCCCACCGCGCCGCCGCCTGCCTCGCCGACTGGCCGGAAAGAGTCAACGGCGCCGGCAAGCCCCCTCCCCCTCTCCCCTTCCCCCCTCTCTTTCTCCTCATGGCGGCGACGGTGAGGTGCCCCGCGCCGCCGTCTTCCCCGTCTCCGGCGGCTCTCCGCCGCCGGATCCGCAACCACCGCCCGCCACCTCCTAACCTCACTCTTGCTTTGCCCCCGCCGCCGACACTGGCCCACCGTCCTCCTCCATCCCCGCGGCTTCGGCGGCGGCGCCGCCGCCCGCCGAAGTCCACCGCCCACCGCCGGTCCTCCGCCGCCCACGGCTATCCCTCTAAGCCCCGAGGAAGCCCCCCTCTTCCCCCTCCCCAACCCCCCTCCTACCCTCACCCCAACCCCAAACCCTAACCCGTCTCCCTGCTGGAGTTGGGGTGTCGCCGGCGCCGGAGAAGAAGGGGAGCCCGTCGGAGTTGGAGAAGAGAAGGTGGTGCACGAATCTTGGCATGGATCCAATGGTCCAAAATCTGTAAGATTTCATCCCCATATTTCAGTCGAATGATATATGGCAATCCCCTTTTTTTTCGAACGCGTAAAAGGATTGCACGTCAATATATCAGAATGTGGGATGTGGATAATAAGCAGGTTAAGGATTGCACGTCAATATATTAGATTGTGGGATGTGGACAATGAGCATGTTGTTTGTCTTCAAAAAAAAAAAGAGAGAGATAGTAGGTTGTTATCCATGGATGTGAGTGCATAACCAATCGAATCGAATTTAACAATTTCCGCATCGACGATTGCAGAACCAATCAAGTCGAATTTAACAATTTCTGCATCGACGATTGCAGGGAGAATACAATAGTTCAGTTCTTGCACATATTCTCCTGTGCAGCAAATGGAGAAATCGGGACCTCAAAGGCTCGAAAGGGGAGAAGCGGTGTATATAAACGATCCGTTTGGTTGGGGAGAGTTTTTAGAAGGGATTAGAAGTTTAGAGGGATGGAGATATTAACTATTTAGTTGGGAGACATGAGAATTTTGGTAGGATGGGATGGGGAATTGAGAAAGGAGTTTTCTCCTTTTCAATACATGGATAGGGGTGGTAATTGGGAGAGAATTCCTCATTAACTCTACTTAAACAAATCTCAACCATCTATTTTCATTAATAACCTGACATAAATAAAAATATTAGAATTAAAAATCAAATTCTCATCATAATCTCACCATTATTTTCATCATCTAAACTCCCAATCCCTTTCCCTCGAGTTACCAAACAAGCCGAAAGGAAAGGGGAGGGAAGTATAACATATCAGCGAGAAAACTGACGATACGCTACTCTCTAAGGTGAGTTCGGATAAAATGCCACTCAATACAATGAACCGGATAAAATGCCACTCAATACATTGCTTATCGAATGAAATGCCATTTTAGAGATTTTTGTGTCCAAAATACCCTGGAGAGAGAGAGGGGGGGGGGGGGGAGGGCCGGCCGGGCGGCGGTGACAACAGGGAGTAGTCATGGTCCTGTTTGTTTTCATTTAGTACAGTGCTATAATTCCTACCAACTTGCAAATGTTTTTTCCCTCTTTTTTTTTATTTTCCCTCTGCTACAACATTCCTCCACATTGTGTCATTCCGACTTTAAATTTTTCAGAATTCTTTACAAGCTCTTCTTCAGCAAAGCACTGCATATTTGTACTAACACTAGATGGGTGGCGCCACTCTCACAGAAAAGACCTCCTGTCTGGTGTTTTCTATTCTTTATTGTAGGGTGTGTTTAGTTCACGTTAAAATTGAAAATTTGGTTGAAATTGGAACAATGTGACGGAAAAGTTGAAAGTTTATGTGTGTAGGAAAGTTTTGATGTGATGGAAAAGTTGAAAGTTTGAAGAAAAAGTTTAGAACTAAACTCGGCTGTAGTTAAACTTTATAGCAACTTACCATTTCTATTAATAGAAATTGGGGTAGGTTTGGCGTCTTGGCCTCCCTCTTGTAAAGAAGAAAAGAAAAAAAATAACACAGTAACACTGGATAGCGTTTGGCGTCTTGCCTCCCCTTAAAAAAAAGAAAAGAAAGAATAGCCTCCCTCTTGTAAAGATGGTAAGAAGAAAAGAAAAAAAATAACACAGTAACACTAGATAGGTCTTACATTCACACATTGCAGTTGCCTCCTCTAGCCTCCCTCTTGTAAAGATGGTAAAGAAGAAAAGAAAAAAAAATAATACAGTAACACTAGATAGGTCTTACAGACTCACACATTGCAGAAGGTAAAGCTAGCTCTTTTACTAGCTTTTGATTGGTTCACTTGGCGTCTCTTACTTTGAAGAAAAAATCATAAAGAAAAAAACACCTAACAATCATATGTAAGGAAAAATATAGAGAAAAATATCACATATAGATTCTAGAGGCTTCCAAAACTATCTTCCCTTTCCAACCACACGAACTTCTACTCCTTTGCCTTCTATAAATATACCACACCTACTCAGTACTACTCCTATAACTCTAAAATATATAGTAAACCTAAAATTATTAAGAAAAAAAATCCAAAACAACGAATTTGCATTCATTTTCTTTAACTAAATATCATACGCCTACTCAGTGCTACTCATATAACTCTAGATTATATAGTAAACCCATAATTATTATAAAAAACTACACTAGAATATACAGTAAACCCAGAATTATTATGAAAAAAAAATCCAAAACAAAGAAAGAAAGAAGACAACATATTTTCTTATATCACGGAATAGGATCATTAATACCTCCTCAACTAAAAAATGATTGTATTTTTCCGTTACACAGGCTGTTAAAATATACTAAATGATTGGTCTTTCAAAAATTCAAATCCACAAGCAAATATATTTGAACCAATTAATTTTGATGAATCTTAAAATTTATTTTACTTGTTTGAATTTTATGTATAAAATGACACATTAAATTTGGTACTTTTGCTTGATATGACATATAAGTTATATTTTTTATGACAAATATGTTTTTCACTTCAATACATAATAAATAAATTATTTATACATATATTATCAATGTTTTTAATATCATACATCTATTTTTCAAAACTAAAATAATGGTTTACAATTTTCTTTCTAAAATATTTTATGAAAACTCTAAAATTTCAAATAAGAAAAGAAGTATACACATATTTTAAATTAGTATTTCAATATTTTATTATATAGTATTTTTCAGTGATAGATATATATATGCATAAGAACAAACAAATTCATCAGCAACAAATTCGATAACCCATTCATGTATAATCGAGCCTTCAGTGTTTTATAACAAACCTGCAGTTGCTCATGCGTAATGAAAACAACATGAATCGCCACGCGCAGGAGCTGGCCGCATCCTCCATCGGCAGAGATCTTCACCTCTTTCAGCACATTCTCGACCACAGCGATCCATCGGCAGAAACCTTCACCTCTTTCAGCACATTCTCGACCACAGCTATCGGGACCTTCTCGTTGTCGCTGACCATAGCAAGTGAGCGAAAGGTATCCTCAAACGCTTGCATGACCATCTCGAACGCCGCCACCTCGATCTGAAATTAAGAGACATGCAAAGATCGATATGAAACTAATGGGGGTGGACGCGCGCACTCGTGTGTGTTGTGTTGCCGCCGTGTAGGTAGTTGTGTGCGCGCGCCCCAACCAATTTCGGTCTATGCTTCTGGCCTGGTTTAGTTTCTAATTTTTTCTTTAAACTTCTGACTTTTTCATCACATGAAAACTTTCCTTCACACACAAGCTTCCAACTTTTCCATCACATCGTTCCAATTTCAATCAAACTTCTAATTTTGGCGTGAACTAAACACACCTAAGGTCCTTTATATAGCCCAGCGATGCATATGCCTAGTCTACTGTCGTGGGGAACAGGTTCTGGGCGTGTGTACTATGCGTGGCACAGTGTGTGTGCCAGAAGCCCAAAATACCACTTCCGTAGGCGTTAAGTTAATGCAGGGTTGGTGTGGATCCGGGTGCAAACCCACGCCCATGTGCTGTGCAGCTCTGGTATAGATGGATGAGCATGACGCGTGGAGACTTTACCAATCCAATATTCCAATGCCGCGCTCCACGTCGGCTCGCTTGATCTTTTGCAACTCCCGGCTCACTCCGCTCAGCTTAACCGGCTCGCCCTCCCCAACACATGTTGTTACATGACATTTCACAAACGCCCGTTAAGGTCAACTTCTACGTTGATGTAGCACCCGTTCCGTCGTGGCGCCTAGCGGGAAAATTATCTCCTAAAAACCCTAATTGCGAAACCTGTTTCTTTGCTTGTTGCCTAGTGTCCGTGCCATCTCAAGATCTCAATCCCCGATCTATCGTCGAGTTCAATTCCGAATCCAAATCCTTCCAAATCAAATCCCTCCGCAAAAGTCTAGTTTGCCTCC